ATATGCTAATCAAACACACAAAGGAGATCGAATATCTATGACCCTTTAGTCATCCAAGAGCAAGATCAGGCTAACAGCCATGACCACGCTGTGATCTGCAGGAACCTGCATTTCATTACACCTTTTTTCTTAGCAACGTAACTACAAGAAAACTTGTCAGCTCTGTTCTGCAACAGGCATGGCTGATGCAAGTAATTTCTCTTTTCTCCTTTGACCTAACTCTTCTATTGTCTTTGAAGATTCTTAGAAAGCAGAAGATTAATATTCAAATTATCCTTCCCTTTCCAACAACTGAATTTATAAACACTGTAGTAAAACTGGTACGTTTTTATAAGGATGTGTTCCAGGAATCATTACTTAAGAACAACACATTCTTTCTTTCATTTCCCCTTCCAAAGCTTATAAAGTCTTGCTACTAAAACAATCTCTAGCAGTTGTTTCAGTGAAGGACAGTATTCTATATAGTGTTGGCACTAGAAATACAATACACAAAACTGAGCTTATGGGGTATTAAGAAAGAATAAGTTTTATCCAAGCCTTCTCTTTCCCCAAACAGTTTTTTCCTGTAGCATTTATTTTACATTAACAAAGCTTGTAAGAAATAAATCTTCCCGTAAGAATGCTCTTCATGTTTTAAATCAAAATGGGAGAGAGAAAACCAAGATCCTTTCTAATTTGAGCTCTTAAGTTCATGTGGTCTAAACCATGACTTGGGCTACCCTTTTCAATTTTTCCCCCCTACTAAACCTATTTAGAGACATACCAAAATAAAAAAAAATTAATTTTGAAGAAGTCTGAGCTACTTCTGATAAAAGCTGAACAAGCCCAAGCTACCAAACACCTCTGCATTCTTCCTAAAAAGAGGCTATTCAAATACAGGGGAAAAAAAAAATACTAAAGCAACTTGAGCCACAACTATTTTACATTGACCAAAGCAACTAACTTCTGCAGAAATGCAATGACTGTAGGGAATGTTACCCCTTGTTCCATCAAGGGCACAGTATGCACGTCTGCCATTGTGGTACTCCCAACACTGAAATAAAGGAATTGGTCTTCAAGTTAATAATAAGGCACTGACAAAAGTCCTCCTTAAATCCAAGCACTCACCCTCTCGATGCATTACAAATTAGAACGACGGTTTTAAAAGAAAAGGATAACCCCTACAAACAAATTCAATGTCCACTCATACAGATTCTTTTAATGACAACTATCCCAAGCCAAATCACCTTATGCACAAGCCACTTGTGGAGAAAAAGGGTAATACTCAAATAATAACAAAACTTTTAAAAGTTGTCCTTGTAGGGAGAATAAGCAATTAACTGATGTGATTTAGTACCAACCCTGGTGTCTTGATGCTTGCAACAGGCAGCATACTACAGCCGGCCATGGAAAAGATTGGAACTACCAATGCTGGTGTGAGTTAGCATACAGAGGGGTAAAAAAAAAAAAAAAAAAAAAAAAGGACAAAGAATGTAGAAAAATGCCACTGACAGAGCCAGAAGAAAAAAACATCCCATGAATCTTATCTTGATTTGGACAAGATTTGCTACAGTTCACCAAAACCACCACCCAACCCTTTATCAAAAGGGACCTCACCTCCTCAAGTGCCTCAGCAGCACAAAAAACTGCAATTAATTCTGCTGGAAGGGAAACCATTTCCTTTTAACATTTGTTATGTCTGATACTAATAGAGAAGGACTATTGCTGAAAATGTATAAATGCAAACAAAGAAGGCTGATGTTGCAAAAAAAATTAGATTAGATTAATTTAATTCTAGCGAGGAAAAGATAACTAATAAAGTCCTGCTGTGGTTTTTTATGCTTTCTTTTGCTATATGTTTTCAAATATGCCTACTTCTATAAACACTTTTCTTGGTAGAAGTTCAAGTGCCCTGCAGTTGCATCTTGAGGAGGAAAGGTAATCAGCTGATGGCACAAAACAGACACTGATTCCTCAAGCAGGAGGCTAAAACATCTGTGTAATGAGAGGGCTGGTTAATACGCCAGCTGCAGAGTTGACAAATAACGTCTGCCATTACAGTATTTTCCTTTTCAGATCTTTAAGTAGGATATGATTTTCACAGTAATTTAAAAGAGCTAACAGTAGCACAAAAGCTGGGTACTAAAGCTGATTCGTTAAGTATTTATGTGCATTCATTTAGTATTTGTAGTCTTAATGCTTATAACTTGCACCTAAATACTTAATGAATCATAATAGCCCAAGTAATATTCCTCTGGCATGAAATGTCTGCAAAATGAAATGTGTGTCTGGGATGAGCTATGTTTACTCAAATTATCAGATTTTTTCAGAAATAAATCTCCTTATTTGCTTTCTAAGAGCACTGGAATAGAAGTCAGGTTTGAAAACGAAACCAAAGTAGTACGGATTAAGTCAGATAAGAGTTAGCAGTAAGTATTCAACAACCAGTGCAATATTATGTGTTTCTAATGCATTCCACCAATTTCATAAACCAGACACTCCCTGTTGTTAATCTTTCCCAAGACTGTTAGTTTAGCTAACAAAGTGGTTAACAGCCAGCAGGTGATTAACATTTATATGTGAAGTCTTGCTATGAAGATCTACTCTGAATACTTTTTGCTCATATGCCTCCAAAGCAGGGAACTGTAAGGGGCATCTTTAGCTGCAAAATCAAAACATTAAGAAATAAAGCGACAAATATTAGCTGAAGTATTTAAGCAGTTATTAACAAGATAAAAAATTAGAGCAATACATTAAAAATAAAAATCAAAGAGAAACTGCCAACTATCTGAAGTAGTCTGGATGACAGTCTTACCTGAATACCATGAGCTCACTGCTGTCCTTGTTTTCTCAGCACTGGTTTTAAATATTTATTTTTTTTTAACCCTTTGTTTTAAAGAAGAGCATTACTACATTCTTTACAGTGTACTTGACTTGTCTGAGTCTTTCCAAAGCTTAGCTGAGGCAGCTTTCCCTCAAGGAACAAAATTACCACCTCTTTCTGAGCACCATTTATGTCAAAATACGTAACATTTCAGTATGTGGCTAAATAGGAGATAAACAATAGGAAAGTACTGAACTACTCATTGTAACAAGTGTCAATAATGTTTTCCATGTTGTCATTAATCATTCCAGTTAGTCTGGCTATGCATTTTAAGAAACTCCTCCCACACTATTCAATGTCTCCCATGAAAAACAGCCTGAGCATAGAAAAACAAGGCAGAGTAGGAGGCCTAAGAACAATGCAGGTTGGTAACAGCAACGATTCACTAAATGATGATTTGTGAACTGCTTTCCCCACCATCTTCCTACCATAAAAACCTAACTCAAAACAGCTGCAGAAATACAACACCACCTTCTCCCCCCCCCCTCCCCTACCATAAAAACCTAACTCAAAACAGCTGCAGAAATACAACACCCCCTTCCCCCCCCCCAATAATAAACGACACCTTCCAACCTGGCTCTGTCTTTAGCAAAGCTGTGTGATTTCAGGCTGTGGCTCCCAGCTGCCTGGTTCCTTTCACTAACAGAAGAACAGATACAGTTATGCTGCAATGAACCTATAATAGCTTATTTAAAAATTCAAAATCCACAGGGTAATATCCACAATGCTTAAAAAAGTACATACATTGTTAACAGTTGTTGAGAAGAAACAGACATTAAGTAATTTTTAAAATGAAAAAACAAAAGTTGTGCAAAGTCTACTACAGTAACACTGCTGGCTATGAAGACGTTGTCTTTAACTACACACCCAACACGGGTAAACTTGAGAGATGTGTGAATTGTAATGGGTTTCAGCACAAGCAACCCCTTCCCAAAATACATGACTTCAGGATCAGACCAGACTATTAATTCCACATCAAAGCAACAACAAAAAAAAATTGCAAAGGGACACAAATTTCCATAGTGCTTGTGGTCTAATTCTGACAGAAGCACCCTTCCACTGTTTTCTTTCTACCAAGAGCCAATTCACAAGAACAATTCTTGGAAACATAAACCAGCTTATTACCCTTTACGCTACATCACCAAGTGGTTGGGGTTTTTGTGTTTTGTTTTGGGTTTCTGTTTGCTTGGTTTTTTTACTGTGAGATTGGATTATCCTTCCTTTTTGCCCCCCCCCCCCCCCCCCCCCCCCAATTCAGAAATTAATAATTTCCCTTAAGAGATTAATTTGACTCTGGAAAAAAACCCAAAAATTGAATTTTTAGGCTTCTACTCAGATGCAATAAACAAACCGTACATTTTCAAAATAATAACTACTAGTAGAAACCTTTATTAGATAGTTAGAGATCTCTGCCACAACTGTAGGTAGCTTGTTTCTCTTTAAAAAGGAGTATCCATGGTGGAATCTGCAAGTGTATTCACGGCCACTAAACCACAATGTCAATGGAATGGAACAGTCACTAATTTTTCACAGACTTCAAAGTTCCCATATCAGAGTCATATTTTGGACAATGTTTCCTTGCTTTACAAAGATCATATTTTTGAAGATTAAAGAAGGACTAATCATCCAGGAAACAGTATCTAGGTGATGACAAGGAAAGCCAAATAAAGTGAGAATCAAGCAGAAAACACACATATAAAGCTTGGCTCCCTTTTTACAAACCATAATGTTTTTCCTCTGCGAGTCATTTCAGTGACCAAGAATTATTCCTGTCAAGGATGGAATTCTGGTAGTCCCACACCTTTTCTCTCCTTAGGTTATCCTACCTTCTAATAAATTAATTATTTGCTGGAAGATCAAAAGAGCTTCTGTATGTAAGGTCTGCTTTAGGCCGTGTTATCAATACCACACAATGTCAACTATTTTGACCAAGACGGATACTAAAATCAATTATTGCCAAATGAGAACATGAAAGCTTGAAATTGTGCCTCTTCTTGAAATGTAGATTTTAAGTGATATTATGAAACACCATACACTAACAGTGGTCCCTAACTGATAATTAACAGATACCCAGAGAAGTAAAATGTCTCAGTGAGCTATACCCAGGTGTTGGTTTTTTTGTCATTGAACCTCTGTATGTAGGAGAGTGACAGGGTAGAAACAAATGAGAAGAAAACACTCAGTTCTGACCCAACAGTGCTTTCAGTTTTGTCTCTTCCACATACACCCACCGACCACCCAAACCACGTGAACTTCGTTTTTAACCAGGAATTAGGTAACGATGTACCAAAACCATTTTTGGTGTGTAAGTGCTCAGCCTTTGTGCCACTCGTTGGGAATATGGCTCCCATACAGTACTAGGGTTTGCAAGCATTTTAAACTTGCAGTTGTTACATTTCTTATACTTGTAGGTCTGAGAGAAATAACATTGCTCCAGGCTTAGGGTGCCTGGGACAAGCTCCCATTGAGGACTCCTAGCATAGTCTAAACAACATCTCTAGAATGTGTAGTACCTCTTTTACCCAGTTCACACATAGCTTTTGATACAACTCTTAAATATCAGTTTACTTGTTTTCTTAAGAATGCCTAAAAAGGTGAGTTATTTCCAAAATTAGTATAAAGTTAAAAGAAACTCAAACTAGCTACCATCTATTTAACTCAAGCACAGCACCGCCAGAAGTTTCACACACACTATTTGGTGTTTCATGTTGTTTCTCCTTTCACTCTTTAAGGCAGTGGTTTCCACAGGTCAGTTTAGAGAATATAATGAAGCATGGTCCATGGCAATTCATGTTGCAACTCCATTTTTAATTTGGGGGACTCTACCCCCCAACCATTAGTGGTTTTGTTCAGGGCTCCAGAGTTCAGAGATTGAGTTGACAGGCTCCGTTCTGGCACAGAATACAGCTGGCATATTTTTCATCAGGACCTTGTATTCAATTATGAGATGGTTCAAATTGTTCTTTTTTTTTGTTTTGAATTAGCCTGTTATTCAAAGGTCATCAAGTTGGCAGGAACCTGAAAACAAAAATATAGCTGATAGCAGATTTTACTTTGGGTAGCAGCTACTTACATTCCACTGTTACACAGAATATTCACCTGTTTAAATGCACATCATTAACACTGATTCTGTCTCAAAAAAAGGGGAGGAGAAATGCGACTATCATTCAGCAGTACAAATATACTTAGAGATGTAAAAAACTCAGGTATAACCAAAGTATTAAACTGCTCCATGGTTTATAATTTTATTATATGGCCGTAGATCTTACTAATTTTGATGACATTTAAGATTTAAGTTGTCAGCAAAACAACCTTAACATGATAAATCTCAGCACCAAACTACACAAGCAGAACCTTCTCACTTGAGTCCCAGCTAGAGAATTCTTGGCACATAGGTCAGTGATTGACGTAGGCCCCTCTAGTATTTTTAAGACTAATTTGAAAAAATGAGGCATAAACACTTGCCTGGGCTTTTCCCATAGGAAACCTGAATGCTTGCTGCAGACATCACTCCCTTTCATAAAGATTAAAGCTAGTTTGCATTACATTAGCTTATATCCCCATTTTCTCCCCATCAGGAATTTGCCTGACAGCAACATCTCTTGCTTACTCAGGTTATTAAAGAGCCACCACATTCCTGATGACTGCCAATAAATAACCAGTTTGGTCAGATCTGAAGCAAGCATTTCTTGCTTTGCATTTACCTGTAGAAGCAAGAATGATCAACCGGGCTAAAGCTCCACCATTAGAATTAAAAACAGTTTCTGTTAAAATATTTCCCAATATTATTCAAGTGGGTAGGTGTCTATACTCTACTGAAAGCACATTTGAACATCCAATCTTTCTTAGGCAGTCATACTGTTAACAGGCAAACAAGATCTTCCATTTTAAACAGTACCATAAGGCATTTCTCTAGGGAAAGCACTGCTCAATAGTCAAATCATGATCAAGAGAAAAATTTTACATCATTTTTTTTTTCCCCCCTCATTTGGTAAATCAACCTTTGTAACCTAATGTTTATGTGAAGCACTGCTTCTTCTATTGGAGCAACTCTGCTGCAAGAACCCATACAGCACAACCACACAACATGCCAGAAAACAGAAAATATGGCACAAATTATAGTACCAGGGGTTTTGGCCTTTTAGTGGAAGTTTTTTTTCACTAATCCTCCCCTCCTTTTTTTCTTTTAGAATCTCTTACTCTTATCTTCACTTTGCTGTTGTATTTTCCAGTAGAGGCCCCGCCAAGATCTTTAAGCCTGCTGCTTTTGCACAAGCTAGGGACTGAATGCTTTAAACAAGTTTGCATTAAATAGTATTGGTAAGCCTTACTGAATAAAAGCTGTCCTCAGAGGGCAGTTTTCAGGCTTGCCTGGAAGTCACCACTTTCTTGCAAACTCTGCCACAATTTGCAACTATTCCCACATTCTCCAGCCAGGAACACAATTTCCCTTCCTTTGCACTGTCTCAAATACTTTCAAGGTAGCTTCTGCTAACCCTGCTTACTCCTTCGATTTCTCTCCGAAGCAGAACAAGAAAGCATGGAAGGATCTGGAAAGGTCCTCCTGTTTCCCCTTGAAATTCAGTAGTACTTTTGCTCTGGCAACTCCATAAACAAATAGGGAATGGAAAAGGGAGATTACAGGAGACAGCGTGGTAACTTAAAAAGGATTCTGCTGATGAAAAAGGTCAGTAAGAATTTATATGGGAACAGAATTTAATAGGGGTTGGAGTAGTCTTATCTTCCTTTTTGACTCAGAAGAGTAGAAGAGTCTACTTTTGTTTTCAAAGTCTGCCACATGTACCCAACACTAAATGTTTGTGGTTTGGTTTTTTGGTTTTTTTTTTTAATACATTCTAGAAATACATACAAACAACAGAAAACATGCATGCCCAAGACCTGACAAAATGGCACTGCAGGAGAGTTATCTAGAATTGATATTGAATGCTGCCATTTACAGCTTTTTATATAATTGTAAAATAGCCTTTTTAAATAGGGAAATGACAAAAATCCATCCACTCAGACAGACATTTCAGAGCATGCCTTCCATTTCCCCAATTGCTTGAAATTAGCCTCAAGATAGCCCCAAATCTTTCTTCATTACCACAGAAGCTCTGAGAACTTGTTTGCAAAGGGACAAACAGGAAAACTAAGGCAAATCAATAAGCATGTGAAACCAACGTACAGGCTGCTCAGACTAGATTGCTCTTCATACAAAGCAATCAGTTACAGCTCCATCATCTTGAAGTTCTGAGCTCTTAACAGCTCATATGCTCTCACCTGTTGTCTGTTGCTTTGGCAGGCAGCACTCAGGTGTTTAAACCAGAGCATTGCATTCATTCTGTTCCCAGCTTGAAATTTATATGAATTTCCTAAGTGAGAAAGGTAGAGAAAAAACTAATAAAGAAACACAAACAATACCATATCCTACTCATATTCAAATAACTCTAAATTAAAACATTATGAAAAGATTTAATAACAGAAGTGTCATATAACTTTACACTTTGTCTGGCATAGGTGCAACTTAATTGTTTGACCTAGTGTGAGAGAAGTTTCAGCTTGCCCGTCTTCCTTTCCAACATTCTAGATTTCAACTAACCAGTGCCAACTAGGAAAGAACAAAACATTTCTCAGACCCATACAACAAAAATGTTTTTCTTCATTGCCATTTATTTATAATACCATTTCATAATTTTTTAATGATTTGCAAGATAGCACTGAAATGCACTCTGGTTTGTTCCTAAACATATTGATACATTTCAGACTAGTATTTTCAGTGTCTGGTGCTTGCTTGGGTTCAGAAAGGCCAAGTAATACAAAAGCATTTCAGGTTGCTGTTGCTGAGTTTAAGCTGACAAGCATTCATAATTTACACCACATATCAGCAGTGCTAGAATAGATGCTCAGAAATAAAATGCAAGAAGACTTGAAGGAGACAAAACAAATAATGTTAAGCTCCTTTATCAGAACTTCTAATGATGCTCTTTCTGCGTGGTTTGAAGTGCTATAGAAAAGTAAAAATGTCTTCACAGTTTAAATTGAAACCAGGGCACTATGTTGGAGTAACTGAAATCAAAGCTTCTCTGCAAAACAGTCAAGATCTCTTAGGTGTTCCCCCCCCCCCCCGGTAACAGTGTTACATTTGAACAGATGGTTTGGGTTTTGTTTTTCATTTGGAGAGGAGAAGGGCTGGTCAAGCACCTAGTGTTAGCTGAATGCTGAACTTTTTTTTTTTTTGTTACTTACATTTTCACATATGTGAAAATGCCTCCGGGTGGTCTAAATATAGTTTAAAAAAATTCAGATTAATACTTCCAATAAAAATCATGACTGGAGTTGTTAAAGTTTGGAGAGTTCTTAGAACTTAATGAAGACTCTAAGGATTCTCCACAGACAATTGTTCCCATAGCATTCTAAAGGCAAACATGACATGTTGGAGAGCAGCTGAATAACTGAAATGTAAGATCCTTCCAATTTCATTTAGTTGCTTATGAATACTCAGCAAAGCAAGTATTTATTCTGGGAATCACTGCACTCTTGGTGCTAGCATTACTTACCCTTCTCAGAATCAGTCAATAAGAAGAGATCTGGATGCTCAGGGTCATCTGCCATCATCACCATCCAGCCAACCACTGACACATTTTTACTTGGTGTGGATTTGAACTGAAAATACAAGCAGAGATGTAAACGAATGTCAAACGAGAAGCTTCAGCCAGACTGAATGCACTGCACAGAACAAGTATTCAAAAGGGCAGTTCGTCTCAGTGACACTGTTAAAGACAGAATATCTTCAAAGGAAGCATAGCACTTCATACAATTAAGAAAGTTTATGAATTTTACATGGAATTAGTGAAAACAGAACTTACTACAATGAACGATATTCAAAAGAAATTAAAAGGAACATCACAATACCCCCAAATGTGTCAAACATCTAAACTGCACAGTATGAATGCAATAGCATTTCTCACATTATTGCACGTGTACGTATGCTGTAGTTCCAAAGAAGTGCATTAATCCACTGCTAACAAACAGAAGAATTAAACTTGTCTGTGCCATAACTATTGAAAGCTAACATACATTAATTATTGTAATAGCCTGTAATTACACATAAAATGAATCCTGTGGACAAGATAAAGCAACTGTATCATTAAATATTATGACCTGATGAATGAAATTGATCAAATGAGTGTGCAGATTCAATAAACAAGTGCGCAGAACATAACGTGCTCATTTATTGACAAGATGTTCAAAATGATAGGGTTTTCCTGTTCGAGGTGTTTTCACACATTGACATATAACTTAGGCCTCTTTTAAGCACAATACCTGTCTCTGCTACACTGGTCCCTCTCTTACCAGCAACTTGGTCCCACTCTCCTTTTCATTTACCTGGTCAGTATTATTTTCTACTTCTCAGGCTTCTCCTCTCAGTTCAGGCTACTTGCCTATTAAATCCAATTCATTTTCAAACCACAAGCTTCATTCTCCCTGGTCTCCTTGCTTACCTATTAGTAGACCCTCACAATTCACCTCTCATTACTTGCTCAGACAGTCCCATTCCCTGCCTGTACCTAATTAATTCAGTTTTTCTCAAGTCTTTAGTTGCCAGATCTCCTCTTCTCACATTCATGGGTCCAACACAGCCTTTTTTCATCAATCCTAGCATTCTTACCCTCTGCAGTACTTTACCTCACTTCTCTGCCCAGAAGGTCCAACTCTGCTATATGCTGTTCCTTATCAGATGTGTTTTCCTCCTGCCTTGGGAAATCCCTATTCTAACCTCTTTGCATGGTAATTTTGACCTCTCTTTAATTATATTATTAGAAATTATACAGCTAAGACAATCTCAGGGATGTTTTAAGTCATTAAAATGAATTTATAGTTCTAGAATACTTTTGTTCTTCATACTAATGCTAGGAAATTTACAACATTAAGCATCAAATGTCTTTTGTTTCATTTTAGAAACCATTACACATCTAGAACTGGTTCAGCAAAAGGAAGCATTACTGCTAATTAGTTTGAGGGTACCACAAGCAAAGTAAGAGTTTATAAGAATATTGTCTATATGGGAATATAATTACTTTATAAATAAGATTCCAGTGCAAGTCTAATGTCAGTTATTGTAATCTATGCCATAGATTAACTGGAGACCTTGAATGTACAGATAAGTTTACCTATGTGGGACTTGTGCAACAGGCTACATTTTAAACCTCAGTTTAAAATACATTAGAACGTTCAATGAACGAATGTTAGACCAATATTTGAAACAAAAGGTATTTTAACCAAGTTCAAAATAATTTAAGAGCCTAGTCTCTCTGTATTTTATAAACTTCTGAATGCATCATCTGTGTACTGCCCTGTATGTCGCTACAGTTACGCTTGCAGGAACCGTTCCATCACAATTTCCTACCAGTCATGTTCAGCTGACATTTGTGTAATGTCAGTGGAAATATAAAAGCTTGGAAACTTTAAAGGGATGCTTGTACAGATCGGTTAAGCGTAAAAGTGATGATGACTGTTCTTAGGAAAGACCTGCCTGCCAAACTTCAAAATGGATGCCCTTTTTTTGGTATTACTATGGATAAAACTGTGGGAAAAGACCATTCTTTATAAAACCTGTAGAACCACATATACTAAAGTTAAGTAACTCTACTGCCTTTGGGAGGTGGACAGATTTGGTAACACCTCATAAGAGGAGAAAGTAAATTATAAAGCTCTATCAGACAACATTCCATTACAATGAGGGCTGGATAATGTAACTTCTTTCCAAATAAACTAAAATTTCTTTGAAGACTCCAGTCAGTAATGAAAAATGTTAAGGAATTTTATCTGAAAGAAGGAATAAAGACAGAGAAAGGGAATAAAATATGGATATAGTTTATGAGTTCTTAAAAAAAGGTACATATTCAGGACTTGCTATGAACCCACTGAACACGTTGCCTCAAAAAACAAAATGACACAACTTACACTTAAAAGGGACCTGCAAAATGCAAACCTCCACATAGTTCTACAAAGCATTAATAACTCATGTTCACAGAGGTAGAAATTTGAGTCACAAAGCAGTTTTAATAGGTTACAGAACAGCGCACCTCTTGAACTGCACTAATTTCTAGAGTTTCATGAAAATAGCACATTTGTACTTTCCTATCTGAGTTATGTATCATAACAGTAGGTACACAATACATGAAATTACCATCCAGTCAAAACTGCTAGGCTTTGCTTGTTTTTTCATTTTATTCAAAACAATTCGTTAATCATGGTACTTCTCCAAAAAGTAAAAAGTTCCACAGAAGGAAAGTGTTTCCTGTCAGCATCAATCCGTCATCACTTGAAACACATGTCAGTTTTCCATCCCTGTGCACAGCCGGATTTGTATTCCATGTTTACATAGTCCCCTAGGGCAGTTCATTCTCCACTGATGCATAGAGCCTTGCTAACAGCAAGTCTGCTTTGTTAACGTGAAGGGAATGAAAGCTTCATTGTAATTTAATGTTCTTGGTTCCTCTTTGCTTTTTTTTATACAGGCCACTGGAATACACTCTTATTATACACACGGAGAAAACTACACAGCTCTGGTGCTAGGCTTCACATCATGACTTTGTTGTTGTTCTGTGCTCAAAGGCATTTATACATAAATCTTTGAATCAAAAAAAATCTGCATTAATCTGTGAACACTTTTCACTCCAGCTTTTTGGCAGCTAGAAATCTCATCATCATCATCTCCTGTTGAGATTTTACAGCTTTCTAATATTCAAATAATTTTCTTGATGGCTGAACATACTTCCTAGAATGACAGCATTCTTTATCAGGGTATTTCAGTGAAAGGGCCTGAGCAACACCTAGTTTTCTAGTGCCAATAAATAGGTCTAATTCCAAATATAACATGCAATGGAAGGCTTGGAATGAACAAGGGTTCATGCTCAAGCATGAAGGCTCAGAAAATCTCTGTTGCTTTTCCAAGTACCTACAAACATGGAAAGATCTCTCATGCGTGCTATGTTGTCACAGAAACTGGCAATATTTTTCCAGCCCAATCATTATGAACAGCTTTTTATGGGTTTACTCACATTTTTCAGGATAAATGCTTTCTTTAAAACTAATTTTAAGTTTACTACTTTTACTGTTGTCCTTTTCTAAAGGTGTGCAAGTGTTACACTTATCACAGAAGCATTTTTGTGGATACCATTTCAGCATATGAGATAAAACCCTAAGCATTCTACACACATTCCTCTCAGATAATCCTGTATCATGTCTCTGGGCTCTGATGTTCACAGACAATTTTGCATTACTCTAGTAATAACTGAAACCTGTTCACCATTTAAAATACAAAGCTCATTATATTGAGTAGTCTTTCTTAGTAGATGCAGCACGAGAAAATTTGTCACATCCAGGTATCTACAGCATCCTCTTCCTTTGGACTAGATTCACATCTAAAACACATGCTATACTGGATGCACTCCTTTGACCACATGCATGAGAAGAGCTGGCTTGCCCATGTGTAAAAGGGAGGGGACTTGCCCTTTTTGCTGGATTACACTAGGATTTTTTATGAGCTAATTTTCCAAAGCAGCTGGCTATTATAAGCCTGGAAGAGCTTTCAGTGTCAGTGCATTATTCCAAGTCCTCAGTCTCAGCTGCCTGAAGCAATAGCAGCAGCAGAATGGTCAAAAGCATGCCTGTAATCAAGACACATTTACTGTAAGAGCTCTAGCCAGGAAACTTTACACAGCAGACTGACTTTTTCGTTGCCAGCGTTCCTTTTCATGTCACAGAGGCCTTGAGAAAGGAAGCTGAAAAGACAGTTGTTTACATGACTCCAGAAGATGCTTGGAATATTTTACTGAGGTAAATCTCAAATGTATCAATCTTTGAAAAAGAAACCTGCTTTGAAGTAGACAGCATCATACTTTTTACCCATTTAATCTAAATTGTAACAAAACAAAACCTAGATCTAGCATCAAACCTCTTGGGAATCTCTTGGGAATATAACTGGACATTTTTTGTACAGTGAACACATACTCACACACCAGCTACCTACAGATGGTTGACCATCTACAGTTTATTCTCTCTTGATTAACTTCCTTTCTGAAAAATGCAACCAAATGTGAATTGAAGCACGGCACTTGACAAATCATCTTTACAGACTCCAGAACAAAAGCTGAGTCTTGTGCAATGACCCTGTAGTGAAATGGATGGAAATCTAAGCCATCAATGGCTGGGCAAAAAGTACAACACAAGTAGACAAGCAGAACAAAGTTATTGACCACCTATCATCAGGCTATTCAATAAACTGGAGCCTCCCCCCTTGATCCTCCAACCTCAGTCTCCCACAGCAGTTACCAGGTTATCTTCCACCTTAATTTCAGCATAAAGATTATATTCTGTGTCATAACCACCTTTGGAGCAGATGTATGTGTGCATTCACTATGAACTATTTGTTTAAATAAAATACAATCCAAACCATAGCTAATAGGTATTACATTATTTTAATTATGACTGCACCTGGGAAACCAAATCAGAGACCTGAGTTTCTTTCAAGTAACACACTTTGCATCCACAAACAGAACAAAATATGTTCGCTGCCCTAATAAGCTAAAAACAAGACATCAGCTGTGTACAGACAAATCCAAGGTTGTGCTGCATAGTTCAGTCCAAATCCACAGAGCCAACTGTTAAAAAAATAAATCTGGTCTAGCAGTCATTGCTTTTTACTACTGCTCCTCCATCTTCCTTTCCTGGGAATTGCATTGCTCAAACTCCACTCAGTATTCGCAAGCCATAACGCTAGCAGGCTTCTGATGGGTAAAGCTGCCAGTGTTATGAACCTGAATGTCTCTTAGCCTCTATGTGCAAACTTTGTCATTGGTCTGCTGGCACATCCTTGGACAAATAAACACAAGAACATAAGGAAGCGAGACAGATTTTAGCTTCCCTGGCACTAATCTGTTCACTAGTAGTTTTGTTGTTGTAGGTATCACAACACATCAGTGACTTGGGGAATATTAAAAATCAATTCAATAGGTTCAGAAAATAATTTTTGAAAGAGCATTCTAAATGGATATGACTGCATTTCAGGACAAAAGTAAAGGCTTTTGCAGTAACAGAGACTCAAGAAGATCAGATACCAGACTTGAATGTTTACATTTGTTACCTTTTTACTTCACATACTTTTTCTAAAGAAAGGGCAAGACCATTTAGATGATTAAAATTGTTATTCTGAAGAAAACTTATAAGCAAGTGGACCACATAAAAATTCAATACATTTAATTTCCAAACAACAGAAGTACCAGCTATGCAATTTTTCCAAGTTCTCTAAACCCATATGTTTAGATCGTTTTAAAATACTTATACACAATAGTGAAAGAGCTTCTGATTGAATAAGTACAGCTATGATAAAGTCACCCATCATTCAGTACTTTGACATACAGTGGACACCACTCACAAATGCATATTCTATTCTTAAAAGAAAACAAAATGCAATTTTGGCATAAAGCCTAAAGGCATCACATCTGTAACAGGCACACAAAGTCTGCCATTACAAAAAAATTGCTTTTCCATTTCTCATCATTTCCAGGAAAAACAAGCAACTAACTGTTAGTGACATGATGCCAGCACAAGTTTCTCTTGGTTCTTTCTTTTGCTTTTACTTTAATACTTCACATTTCTGCTTATAACAGTTTACAAGTCTATTCTTTCCAACTACCTTTACTTTTATGAGACAGGCTCCTTCCATAAGGTTTTCACTGATACCAGAGGCAAACGCATCCAAACACAAACACTTCTTTAAAGACACCCAGAAGACAGGATGCTTGGCTAACAGGCCTTTGGTCTGGGCTAGTACTGTTTTAATTGGCAAGACAAATTAAGTAGGATCAGTTTTGATTTCACCTAAGCAGTCAAAGCCAACAGGGGTGGGGCAGGTGGATGATGGCAAAGAAACTATGCAAATATTTATACGAGTAATTAGCTATTATTAGGCTAGTTTGAGTATTAGAATACTGTTTCCTCATGAACTACTTTCAATAAAAGTGGAAAATACTACATTTTTTTGGTAGATCAAGACAACATTACACACTAACTTTCCACACTGAAAACTCAAATATCCAGGAGCCTACTAATCAGAAATCTTAGGCTTCAAATGTCTACCCTCTGAACATAAAAATGTTAGGATAATAAAACAGTATTTTGTACCAAAAAGAAATAATATAGTCCCCTTACAAGGATTCTAGGAGCACAACTCATTTTGTAAAATTACATAAGCTTTACACAAAGCAAATGTTTTTCAGTGACAGCTGTCATAAATTAAACTGAAACTCTGGCCAAGGCAACTATAAGTAATGGTTCCAAATAGTGAATGAACCCTGAAAAAATTCACGTATTTCAAATTTTACCCAGCTTCTTAACAGAATCTCTGGTGGCATCCTCTTCCATTATAATTAACCAGTGAAAACAGGAACTACACACATCATAACATCCCTGGAATATCTACAGAAAATCCTTTTACTACTTCCCCACATAAGCAAAGTATTTTTACCTCCTTTCAAATAAAGTTGCAGCAAATAAAAGGAAAGACAGCATCATATGATATGCTAGCTCTCTGCTTAACATATGAAGTGTTTTGTACTCTGCTGTAGTTAATGGATTACAGTATTAAACAGAAAAAGAGTAGTCTAATTTTAGCACATATATGAAATTAGTACATGTTTAATGTCATTTAAAAAAAGCAACAAACAGTTGCAAGACTTAGATCATCAAAAGATATAACTTTACCTCAGAAAAGCAGACAGACTCAATGACATAGTTCCCTTCCTTACAGACGAACAAATTCAAAGAGACCTATGGCATATGCAAAGCAGATGTTCTTTGTGTAGCATATAAACATGCACGATATTTCCATTAGGGCATACCCATATGAGGTGATGGACTGAATGGAAGACAGGATAGCGCTGACTAGAAATCATGCAAGTCCTGAACTAATCTCAGTGTTTACATCAGGAAATCACATTTTAACTTTGGCAGATGATACTTAATATGCCTGCTTTACATACATGTTTTCTCTCTGTAGCCTTCAGAGATTTTGCAGCGTAGTAAAAGAGTTGGGTTCCACACAGTGCTACCCAGTATTTTGTCCAAGATGCTACCTAGAGAGAAAAGAAAAAACCAAACAAGTGCAACAGATAAGTGAAATGTTACATAATATTGAGCTGTAAAATAGCAGGCATCATCCTGCAAGAACACAAACAGCACTAACTGTCCAGCCAAACCATCAGCTATGTTTCCAAAAGCTGCTGTTTCTAGTTATTCATGTAGGGCAACGAATGCATTAAAAATCTAGAAAGCAGAAAGAACATGTGCCTTTCCTCACTGATCTGAGGAAAATGTTCTGCATCTTACCCTATACTTTGTGCAACCCTTACTGAATACTTCTTTGAGTTAGAGTACATTTTTCACCTTTCTTTTCCATTCTATGTACTGCCACATAAGGTATCCCCCACTGTTGTGAATATGTATTTTGATTTATAATTCATAATCAAGCATTTGCAATGCAAATGCTAAGGGTTATTGCCTATTGATAAATTGTTAGGATCCACCTACCATTTGTGAAGACAAAACATGCTCTTCTCTAACTGTAAGAAATGTTACGTAGCAGTACACTTCTCTTATACTCCCTAGATTATGGGTACAGCCTTATAAACCGAGTAAATCTACCAAATAGAAGATTGCAAACTCTAGCAGTGACCCTAAACCTTAGCAACAAGGCAGAGGAGATCTCACGACACTTGAATCAGTTGCACAATGGCCATCTTACTGTATTTAGAATTGGACAATGGAAGAAGGTGAGAAAATTAATTTAAAATCTTACTGTAGGTTTTTTGCCTTCTTTCAACAAAGTCTTCCGCCTGAGAACACCTTGAATAGTAACTGCTCCTGGATACAAATGAACAGCCAAATCTTCAGATTCTAGGGAGCTGAAAGGAGCATGTGAAGATTTGTGTGAAAAAAATATTTTTCCTAAAGTAGTTTTCCAATCATTACCACAAACTAATGCAAACATCTGTATTTTAATTTAGAAATGTCAACTTCTTATTTATTGATCTTCCTTGTGGAAAAAGACTTTCACTGTTGCAGGGAATTGCTGTTGTGGAATTTACATTCAAGCAAAAGTGATCAGAAAAATCAATTAGCCAAGCAGGTAATCCTTAATTAAAAAAAATAAAACTCAAGACACAACTGAAATACAAGAACAATTAAGTTTAAAAAGCAAACATCTGAAGTACATTCATACAGTTGCTGTATGTGTTAAAACCTCTCCTTCAGCCCTTGCACGAAAGACAGAGTTTTTGTTAGAAGCACTGGAATCATTAGCACATCAAAACCGAGGCATAGCTCAAACATGCACAATCTTTAAAATATTCAAAAGCAAGAAGAGTGGGCAGGAGCAGCAATAAAGAGTAGAAACCCGAACCACAGCTTTAAGGTGTTTTAATGCATCTGGTGCTCTACTAATCATCTACCCTATGTAGGATCTAAGAGCAATGGGCCAAAACAAATGCCAGGTATAGCACTGTGAAAAGAAAACTTAAGCTGAACGGCTTACAGAACATTTTCAATCAGAAAAAAATTACAACAGGAATAATTGCACTAAATGTCAATCAGAGCGTATAACTAAACTGCTGAACCCAGCAGCTTTCTAGAAAAGCCAAGAAATTGAACAGTTTTGAAGTAAGCCAGGATTTGCGGTTTCATCCATCCTAACATTCATGAAAGTTCAAAGTAAACTGGAAATCTAGCAAACATTTTCATTGCAGCACCTACTGAGGATGATGATATGGAGACAATTTTGGACATTGATAGATGTGAACATGAGTTTAATTCAGTGAGAGAATGCTTGCTTCTTAAGATGAAAAAAGTTTCATACTTAATGGCCATCTCTTTCCCAACTACAGTGCCACACAGCTGGAGACAGAATTTGTATTTTAATTAACCAGAATAATCAGTTATTTTACTCTGTCAGCTTCCAAAATAATATTATATATAATAAATTAGGGCCAATTTTAGCACGTTACTCATTTTAGCCATATCTGTGATTTCAGGGAAGAGGGGAAAAGAAATTCAATACAGAACTGCCAGCAAAGAAAACATCTTGAACGCCATCCATTAGCACAAGAAGCAGCTTTATTGTCCACATGAAGACTATACCTACTGCTCTAACAGTGGCAGGCAGTTCAAAAACTACCTCTGGTAAAACATCTTTAAGCCTTGATATAAAGATCCAATAGTTCAGAATTTGTATTTGCAGACCAGAACAAATAAAAGCCCTTAAGGTGACACAGATTAAGTCATAAAAGAGGAAAGCTTTGAGTCTGAAGAAAAAGGTCTCTACCTTTATTTTGACGTGTAAGTTAGAAAGATAACATCAGAAAACACCCACTTAATTATTAAACCAAACCAAATCACCAACACCAGAGGGAAAGTTTGACACCTCTGTGTGCAGTGGGGATTGTACCTGCTGGCCTTCATGTGGCCTCGATAGCCATTTCGTGACACTCTTGTCCCCGGACCGAGAGAATGGTACAACCTGTTCCTGTTGGATTCCATTATAAATTGTACGTATTACATATACTTTTATTCACACAAACAGCACGACTGCTAAAAACAGCACAGTATTTATTTGTGTGCATATCACAAAGCCACTTCTTCCACAGAAAACATAAGAAACGGAGGACAATTTTACTTAGAAAAATGCATGCAGGGGTAAATACCACTTTTTTTATTTCATCAGATGTTCTCTTTGTCAGAACTTGTAATACTGAAGTGTTTTATTTGCACTAAAGAATAATACATTTTGAGAGCAAAGTCTGCACTTAGTTCTTAGAGATTAAAACAATGTAAAGGAGCCATATTAATAAAACTTTTCTTTAAATTCTGACTTTAGATGTTACTACAAAAAACGGTTTCAACTTCTATGAATATGCACACACACAAGCTGTTGGGCTGAAAGGAATCAAAAGCACTATCAAAATATATCTGACACTCTTTAAAATACTTTGTATTAAGTAACACTGAAATAAGCTAAGCAGTAGTTCAATTCTCCAGTTCATATAAGCATTAAACTCTACCTATAAGCTTTATGTTTTAGAGTCTTTAACCTGATCTACACTGTTATCCCTACCCAGGACTTCGGTTCTAGACCTGCCTTTTGAATACTGCTTTGCTTCATTGAACCTTGTTTTTCTGGGTAAGACCTCTTTAGTCGACTGAATTCTGTTTTAGTCAACAGAAGTATGGGCACTTTGTCCTCACCTCTGATTTTTTTATCTGTTTTTCTACTTGCTTGTATTATGCTGAAACATCGAAAATCATCTCTAATTCTGCAGAAGCAGGCAGTTAAGTACAAGCCTATGAGAATTTTACAGGCAAAAACTCTTACATAGTATAAATCTAACAATCTGTCACCTGTGAGAGGGGCTTTGCATTGGCTGGAAAGCTGCTTATATATGGACAGGGCAGTATTTCTCACAATGGGAAACCTAAACAAGTAGCATTGTCATGTTTCAATCTGAACTCAGAATAACATACAGCAGGCAAACAAAACAGGCTGAAAGAAGGGATACAACAAAGGTCAGCAGCATTAAACAAGAAGAATGGGTGTGCCTGTGGTTGGTTTTATCATTTTGGTTTTTTAAACCAGCTCAAACTACTGCCTTTCCTGCATGAATTATCAAAAAGATAGTAATGAATTACCATGTAGTAATTTATCCCAGGATTTGCCGTAATTTGTTTTTCAACATAATAGGTATCTTTGAATTTATGAAACATTTAAAAAATACACTCAAGATGTAGACAAAACAATAATTAAGATGAAGGAAAGAAAACTGTAATATGAGTTGTCTATTTGTGTGTATGTATGTTTTGCATGCAAATGAAGTATGTTTTCTTTTTACCTTTACACTTTTTTTTTTCCCCCAGAACAAGGCGGCTGTCACTCTTGGATTTGAGCTATCTCCGAGAAATTTATTCGGAGACACTCTGGATGACAACCAATGAGACTGATGTGTCACTTAGTAAGCACAGATCAAAACTAGAGACACACCCTCTCTATTTATCTTAAATTTTGACATTTGCATGTCAGTGTATTAACTATTAAATTCCAAAATATGCTTAATCTTCTTATAAACTAAGAAACAGACACAAGGCTGCTGTTTCGATGTTTTGAATGCCTGTGAAGAAACCAGTCCCTCTCGCTGGAAGCAGCCAAGAGAACTCACCCTGAAAAACATGCAACTTTAAACAGAGTTCTGGAAGAACTCTCTCAGGAGAGAAGAAAGTATTGAAGACAAGTAGAATTTAGAAGAGGAAGAGGAATCTTCTGACATAATTGTTTGACATGGAATCTTCTGACAATTGTTTGATGCTCCCCCCTTTTAACTGGTGGGGAGAGACTGGGCCAGCCATTTCTCATTAGGACAGGGATGAAAAACCTCTGCTTTGTCTCAGAAGTCCACATAACAATTCTGGAGAGCATTACCTGAGCTTAAGCCTGAAACTTACTAAAATTTTTAAGTTTCTTGTGCTACTCAGCATAAAAGAACTCAGTTAATCAATTTGTCTAAGGTTTTTCCATATAACTTTTTATCTTTGAGAAATAACCTGACTTGATTAATTCCACAAGGCACCAGGGGAGGAAAAGCAAGAAAACCTTTTGAATGTTGCAGGTTACATCACAGAGCACATACCAGTTAGAGATTTTCTTTTCTGACCCGATTTTCTTTCTATGCTCATGGGGAATATTCTTATTGCTTATGTAATTGAATCACAAGGGCATTCCTTCATGTATGTCATCATATTTATTAGCATGAAATATCTAACAGTTGACCTTTGGTACAGAGAAATTTTCAAAGATTTCTTCCAAGAAGTAACACAGAACCTGAACTGCTTCAATGAATTCAAGCAGAATATAAAGTTTGTGTAACAGTTCCCGACTACAAAAAGAAAGTTCTTTCACAAAAATTTTCTACAAAACATGTCTTCAAAGCATGGTAGGAAAAGTCATCCATGGCAACTCTGAAGCTGATGTATAACCTGAAATTGAGTTACAGAAGCAAAACTACGCACTGTATTGTGCATCTTACTCAGCTGTAGGAAGATGAAATTTCTACCTTTTACTATATTAAGCTACAGCTGTTAATCTTTTTCCATATTCCCAAATACCACATGGGAAAGGACTGAAGTGGTCAATATCACCTGGGCATTTGCAGGTGTTGGATAAGGAGCAAAGATGTTAATTCTGGACCACAAAATCAGACATTAGGAAGGGGCATTTTGTGTTTTCCCATGTAACACAAGGGCAAGTAACAACGAAGTGAAGAGCAGATGAGAGAGGCAAAACAGGTGACAAGAACAAAGGGACCAAGAATAGATGAAATATCTCAAGGAAAGTGAAAATGAAAAACTGGTAGGTCACAGGAATAGCATACACAGGATGTACAAACATATAGAACCAGAAGAAACATTTGGGGTTTAATGGTACTCTGGTGGAGCTATCTAGAAGAATGTATGCAATGAGTAAGCACCCAATCAAAAGCCCTATTAACTACTAGTGAGCAGAAGGTAGTTCTCTGCTGCTTTAATGGATCCAGTGAACTTACTACAGTTTATTAATATTCTGACATAACAGAAGATCTCTAGATCACCACAATAAAGAATCATTTTCAGGACTGAATGAGAGATTTTAAGTAGCAATATCTGAATAGAGAAATGCGGGGTTTGAGTGGCAGTTTTTCTTACCTTTCAAATGCTGGCCAGGAAGTCTCTTCACTGAGTTCAGAACCATCGCTGCTACCTTGAAAAAGATAAGCATGAATGATACTTTACTGCATCATCTACAATCCACCTGTTTCAATTACATCTGTTTCTCCTCAGAATATTAAGATTAAATGTGTAAAAAATATTTCACTGAAATACTACAATGAAAATACTTTGTGATTTGCTTCAGGAATTTCACATGAACTGAGGCAGATATTTGAAGGGATGGGGTCTAGATGCACATTAAGAAGTTGAAGAAAAGGAGTGCTGATAAATGTGAAAGGCATTTTCAAAAGTTAAAGAACATCCTAAATGCAGATTTCTCTGATGAACAGAATAAGCATTTAAAAAAGAAAGGTCCCTTATTTAAATAATTCCTTATGAAGTCATACATGGTCATGACACACAGGTACAAATTCGCAATATTGCAAACTCATTGCTGAATCTCCAATACATTAGAAGGCTTTGCTGATTTGAGAAACCTTAAACAACTTTTTAAAGCTATCTCCCACTTTCTATATCTGATCACAACAGTATTTTTTTTCCTTCTGTGCTTCACAAATTAACCCAATGTTACTGCAAATATTTTTTTTTTAAACACTGAAAGTAGAGGAAAAACACAAAATCCAAGTAGCTGATGCATCCACTCATGGCAGGCCCATAAATAATGCTAATTTTACAATTACAATAAATCCCATTAGCCTGAAAATTAGTATTTAAATACAGACACAGGTAGTGTTATCTGTGATGTTGTTAAAAATCAGTAAATATACATCAGAACAGAAATACAGTTACCAGAACTTAGTAACCTCGGTTACTAACTGTACTATAAACAATGTTCAAGCTGTTGTCTTGCTACCTCTCAGCTTTCAGACTAGACCAGCTTCGCACACCAGCTACCATCCTTGCACTCCACTTCAAGCCAACATGCGTTTTTGGCTCCAGACAATCCCAACTCCTCATTTTCTGCCTACTGCTAAAAGCCAATTTTGGCACACTAACTTGACAGCTTGTTTGCTCTGCCTCCTGAATGCCTATATATAAAAGGAAGAATTGATTTACAATGATTTTCAGATAAAAAAAAAAAAAAATCTGAATCCATGCACCTTTACTTGCGGGTTCCCACTCTGGATATCCACTGAGTAAACACAGAGTAAGATGGGAGGCAATAAAAATTCACACACAGCAGGGCTAATTCCATCCAAGAGCCATGAAAATCTCAGCATGGACTGAAGTTCCCTCTGTGCAAAATCCAAAAGAAAATACATGCCTTTATCTGCCAGCCAATTCAACATAGATGCCTCTTTTTCATCCTCATATTATCTCTAATGGATACTGGATAATTTGGTCTCAGCCTATGCTGAACTTTTCCTAAAGGAAGGTCCTAACCTGGTTCACACTAACATTACAGTAAAAGGGACTTGTGTAGTGAAAGAAGCTAAGAGACATACAAAAGTGATGTTCCAGCAGAGCTACTTGTTCCTAAGCTAGGCGTAACGGTCTGCAAGAAGGGGAGTACAAGACTCAACAGGTGACTAATTATTTCCTAGAAGTGTCTTTAAGATTTTAGTACTTACATTCTCAGATTATTGATCCTTAAGCATTCAACTGCTTAAAAGGTTACATCAGCAGTAGCTTGTCCATAAAATAAAAGAACAGTTACTTATACTTCTGTGACTTATACTTCCCCTGTAGCTGTGAGGACAACATATCAAAGAGCCATAGTTGCTACAACTGAGTAAGTGTTCTTATTTCAAGTGACTGCACAAATTTAATCTACCTGCAAACAGTCATTCTGGTGCCGCAAGGCAGGCGACTAAAAAGTGAATATAAAAATAGTAAGTTCTGTTCAGAACAGTTTACATCTGACTTGCACCATGGAAAAGTAAGAGAATGTGGACCAAACTCCACATTGTATTACACACTTTTATATAAGAATACCACCAGAGAGATTGTGAAGCATCCCAGGCAAAACTGGAGTAACCAGTTGGAGTAACCTATCCAGATGGAGCCTGCTGTTACAGTAGAAGTCTTTGCAAAATCCAAAAATAAAGTTTATAGTTTCCTGGAAGAAACAACTGTCACTTAATATTTTCAGCAAATTCTACATCTGCATCGCAGTGAAAAGCTCAATGATTTATTTAATCCAAACAAAACCACAGCTGCACTCTCTATCAGGGAATATGCAAAGACTCTTCAAATAAACAAGTATCATGGTTTGGGGACAAAGAGACAGAACTGGATGTAACAGAGTTCAGAGACAACTTTAAGCAGGTATTTTGGGTAAGACCTCCCAGCTGACTGTCTTTGAGGAAGACTGTTTCTAGTAGAATATTTTACAGTAAGATCTTAAAGTACTATAATCCTTTTAGCAGGTGGAATGACAATTAGGAAAGTAAGTTTCAAGTATGACGATTTCTCAAGAAAGGGGATCCAGCACCCCAGACTGTTGTGAAGACAAGGGTGGGTTTCCTGAGCCATCTAAACATCAAGGAGCACGAACAAGAGAATGGCACAAATAAGAAGCAAATAACTGATGCCACTATTGGGTGCACTTGCATCAAACTAAGGCACAGACTGCATTATTCTAAGCAAATGTAATAGTCTGGTACGGCAGGTCCTGGACTGTTTCTAAGAAGACCTGATCCAGACCTGTCCAAACAGAGAGTCTCTCCTATTCATTTCTATAGGTTAGCCTGCTTATGGATTTTGTAATAATTCTGGCTCAAAGGGACCTTGGGAGGTCATCTGGTCAAACACTTAAGTCAAACAAACCTAACCTGGTGATCAGATTGCTGAGGGCCTCAGCTAATCATGTTCTTAAAGGAGGCAGAGTCTGAAGTCTCCCTGAGCAACCTGTAACTGTGTTTCACAACCTGCACGTGAAAAAAGTTTTTCTTGCACAAAATTGAAATTTTCCTTGTTGCTACTTGGAGCAGCCCATCCTGTGAAATGGTACAGTAATTCCTGTTTATCCTAGTCACCCAGCCAACACTGAAGTTATTAGGGGCACTTAGAATCTTATTTATTTCCTTATTGTTGCATAAATTTAGCTTTATATTAACTAGAAGTGCAACTTCAATATGACTAGAGTGCTACTTGATTGAGGCCCACATGATAGAAACCCACATAATTAGGGCCCCCTAAAAATACTGTATTATGAAGGAATTTTTTTTATATTTAAAGTAGGCTAATACATTAGAATTTTTATCTGAAATGACATTCTGATGGCAACTATATTAGCTTTGCTAAGAAAGTTATATTTCAAGCCCTGTACTAGGTACTCTACAGAAAGATTTAAAAGGTAGTGTTGCTTTTTAAAAACACAAAACAATCTAGAGCAAAAGACCTGATATGTCATCTTTCAGAAAGTGGTAATCTTTGTTACAGTATCAGTAGTTACAGAAGTTCAACGAATTTGGGGGATTCATAAACAAGAAGTTTCATTTGAAAAGTTTATATAGAAATTGCCAATTACACTTTCGAAAGCAATGCTAGTTTGGAAAAAAGTGGGCCAATCATCACAGGTATTGATTTAACACTTATACTGATGCCTATACAGGTTTAAAAAAAAAACCAGAAAAGGTTGGATTTTAGCATTTGAACATCTTCAGTAGTACTTTTTAGGTTCTAAAAAGACTCTAGGAGATTTTTTTGCACAATGAAGTTCTGATACTAAAAAACTCCCATGTTTTCCATAAAGCAAAAGAATATACATTACATCCCTCCCTCCAAAACAAAACAGAGGTGAAAGGAACTGTTTTTAACTTAATAAAAGTTAAATGTCTAGCCAAATTCTGTTTAAACATTAAGTGCACTATTTAACTATCACCTCAACTGGAAATATTTCATTCATTCAGTACTTTAAAAATATATCACCTTCTTAAATTCTTCTCAAGTATGCACTCAATATTTGTGTTTTTCCAACAACCTCAAGCAGGTCTTCAGGTTAAACTTAATAACAAATCCTAGGTAGTGTAAGTCTTTTCTACTAAGTAATGTTCTACACAAGCTTTGGCTTTGTGTAAGAAGCCACTTGATACAAACGACTATCTTCCCAGATTTTTTTATTGCTAATAAAATTAAAAATTTCTTGTACTGGATTAAAAAAAAAAATCAGAGTTGTGTTTATCTTTACTACATAACATGAAGGCTTTTTCCTATCTTAGGAATAATTGGCAAAATGTTTTTTTTTTTATTAACTGTGCTGATGATTATCTGAGAAGTTTCAGGATTGTTTACACTGACCTCTAGTACTGCAGCTGAATACAGACATGAATTTTCTGTTTGCACCTGTACAGGTGCATGTACATGTCTATGCTACAGCCAAACAAACAGTGCGAGGCTAGGTTCCTAGTTATGTGATGGGGAATGCCTATAGCATTGCATTCCCCCTGGTCACGGCATCCACTCATTGCTGAAAGTCTGAGGATATTGAACATTTAACACAGGCTTCCTTTATCCAGAAGTTAGTCCCCAAAATTAAACAGGTGTTAATATAAACAAACCAACCCCAAAGAGTTTAAAAAGTATTCAGACTAAAAATTCTTTCCCCTTCTCAAATCTGCAGCTGACACTCTCTTGGCTCCAGTTACACAGTGTTTTCAGAGCTCTAGTCACTATAGCTGGTGACTGACCTGATAGAGCTTGAAATTCTAATGTGAATGCACAAAAAATTGGTCAAGGGACCTGACCATCAATTGCTGTAGCACAATACAGCCCAGCTAACATCATGGCAATGGACACCATGCCCTCAAAGTTATGTTCTGCCTTGTTGAGTCTATGACCATACTGAAAACCCTCATATATATTTAACTAGATCATTACCATTTAACTATTGTACAGTAAAGTTTAAATAGCTCAACTTCGGCTTGCTAGTTAACCAAATAAGAATAGTGTGAAGACTGGCAAACTACTCAAGCAATATGATGCCAGAGAATCGACACAAACTTCTAATACCGTCACTGATAATGAGTTTCATTGAGAAAAACTAACAAAAGCAAATAACCAACTGGATAAAGATGGGGCAGAAACAGG